TCATACAAACCTCAGATAGGAAACCATTAAGAGTTAAATTGCCCAACACTGTTTTCTCTCCAGCATCTCTGTAAGGAGCTTCATCCCATGGACTGGATTAAAAAAGGGACAGTACATAAGAAATTATATTTTGGTAATTATAATGGCATCAGAATAGGATTGTTAGCAAATCCTATTGCAGAAATTTTTTTAAAGAAAATTTGCTAAAAGATAGCAATAAGCCATCAGCTCAAGTTGACATGCATGTAACTAATGTTATTACCAGTGCTATAAGTATCATAACAAGAAAACTATCAAAAGTATATTCAGAGGGAATAACATGTCAATTTTATGTCATAATTAGTGTCATGGAGAGGTCCACTTCCCATCCACAAGAAAGAAGAAAAGAAAACAAATATTTTCAAAAAGTGGTCCACTCTTAAGCTTGCATCTACCATACTAGGCTTACCCATCTAAGCTGGGTGGCACAACTGTTACATTGACAGTCTAGTTTAATGAAAGCATGGATGGGAAAAGATTAAGATAAAAAGGACAGCCTGTAAAAGTCAATTTGTAAAGTTACATAAAACATAAGACAGAACCACGAAACATTAATGTTAAGATTGACCATCGCCAGTCATCCCACTCCCTCACCTAACTAATTTGCAGGAAAAACATTGCAGGGATTTAACCAGAACTGGAGGTTTTGATTGCAAAAATATCATACAAAAATCAAACAGTAGTAATGGCATAACAAAATTCATTTTTTATTGAATGAAAGAATGGTCTGATTTGAACTCAATATCTTTAGTTTGAGGCTAGAAAAGCTTTTTCTTGAATCAAGTAAGCTTATAAATCCTTTGGAAGAGACAATATGGTTCTCATGTAGAAGCACAAGAGACGAGTAAAAATAGTCAATTCATAGACAGAATTCATGACAAAGTGAAATGTCAAATTTGAGACATAAAAGGACCCTGGCAGCTTTGGAGTGTACAAGTCTCTAAGAAGCCATGGAGGGATTTTAGGCAATAAGGTAGGAACCTTTATATGAAAACAGACCTGATTTAAAGAAGTCAATTAATATAATGTTGATATAAGTCCACTGAGCAGAACCATTGCATCAATGAGTCAAATTGTATTTTCTTAAACTAGGCTCAAACCTAGTAGCTAAGATCAACTAACGTGTTATGGACTAAGCCTATTTGTAGGATTATTTAATTTTGACCAATCTAACAGTGATTAAGGTACCAATGAAATTTTTACACCTACAGCAATTATTTTTTAATAGAAGCACCTAAAGTGAATATAAACAGCAAAATTTGAGAAGTACTATAGCAATACCATTAATTCAAATGATATGTGAAGTGCTTCCTTTGTTGAATAAGTTAGGGCTTTAGAAATGTGCATACTTTGCAAAGCCTAAAATTATTTTACTTATTGGCTGAATGGAGGAACAAGTCTAAAAAACAGATTTCACCTTTCTGGTGCAGCTGAAAATATATCTTCAAGCTCAGTGGGTCTCACAGCTCCATCCTACAAAAGCAACAAGATTAAAGCATTCAGAGATTTAGTGCAATGTACTAGCCAACATAAAAAACGACAGCCCAAATATAAAGCGCTCCCCATGGCATAAAGCCATAATTCATATTGGCAGAGAGTAGAACATACATTATCAATGTCATACAATCCAAAGATACCACGTAGAAATTCCACAGCCTCACTTGCCAGCTCCACACTCTGCAAAGTGGCATCTAAGAGTAAATATCTCAAAATGATGTTATGAAGAGTTAATCAAAGATTTCCTTTTTTTTTTTTCAGATAATAAAAGAGAGGGAGAGCGAGTAAAAATTTTATAAAACCACATAAATGTAGATCCAACAGCCACATATAAATAAAAAAAGTAGGATTTTGAAAACTTAAACGGAAAGATGTTCATAAATTTTCTTAGTAGTACTAAGTATATGGAATACAACCCAAGAAAAAGCTTCATGCTTCCTTGACTTGAGAATGATTCATTCTTTTTTGCTCCTTTTTTTTTTTTTCTTCTTCTTTACTAGTATTTCTTGTAAAGATAAATATGGGAAATAAAACCATTTAAAATGCTCCATTATAAAGGAAGCCACAGTCAAATTGAGAGCACTGGTTCTCTAGGTTAATCACGACAATTTTTTCTCAAATGGATCTCCTCCTTAACCGGTAAAGACAAACACAAAGAAATCTAACAGCAAATTCTAAGTATTCAGTAATTGATTACTTAGGAAGTTAAACCACAGAAAGAAAAAAATTGTCCAAATGAAAGGTTAAGCAAGTAACTGTCTAAATATTGTGTCTCGAAACAGATCAACCATCAAATTCCAGGAGAATGTAAAGATGGAAGAGCTAACTAATCGCATACTCAAATAATAAATATTCGGAAGTTTGCAACCTCTTCTGCAAAAGATAAACAAGATAAATCACAGTGAAACATTGCAAGAAGATCAAAAAGTGAGGTCAGGATATCAACAAGAGATACCTGGTCAGGAGCAAGCTTAGTTGGAACAGGAAGAAACTCATCCCTTAGTTCTAAATCATCTCCATAACCAAATTTTCTCAGGACAGCCCAAGTAGTCTCAAGGCGCCCTTTTTCAATAAAAAGAGCATGGAGAAAGAGGAACCCATTAAGGGTAAGACCAAGGTCATTGACTCCATCTAGTTGCTTCTCTTGTACAACCCTTTTCACCCCCACTATTTCAGCAGGTTGCAATGGAGCATTAAAGCATTTAACCTGTTTAACAATGAAACATGTTAGACACCCAAAGAATGATGTAAATCAGTCATGGTAAGAAAGTATCAAAAGGGAAAAAACAGGAAAACAAACAAACCTGAAAGTCATTCAACTCTACATCACTGAGGACGCCATCCATGTCTTGGTCACAAAGAATAAATATCCTTTTCAATGCCCTGACACATCGTTGTTTCAGACCTTGTGAATCATGGTCAAATAATGGACCTGTTGGATGAAGTACTGCCTTCTGAGCGTAATAGAAAACGTCAGGGACCTACCATCAAGGAAAATTTGATTCATCTTAACGCATGAATAGGATCTCAATACAAAATGGCAAGATTAAGAAACTGACGAAACTAACAATCACATTACATTAACTAATAGATTACCTTATCCTTCCGTCAAATAGCATAATTCACTCTAAAGTACACTTTCCACTACAAGAGTACCAAGCAAGTCATAAACTTATCCTACAAATACAAGACCCAATCTTCTTGATTCTGCGTAGAGCTCTGAGTTGTAATCTTTATATTCTTCTTGATTCTGATAGTAGTGATGCCCAGCTTAGTTGAATTTTCCACATTTTTTTATAAGAAAATTTGTCCTCTACAAGTCTAAGAGATTCTCATTTAATGAAAAAGATGCTAAAAATCATCGAATTAGATCTTAAAGATTAATGGTCATGGGGCAAAATCTGCTGAACAAGAAGGCATTTGAAGAAAGAGAGACCAAAAAAAGATAGCATAAGCTAACAAATTTATATCAACATTGTGAATATCCTTGGACAAAGCCACAAAATCCTGAATGACAAATTTCGTCAGCCTTAAAGGTCAGGTCAGAATTTTTTCACACCACTCCTTAAATTAAACCTAGGGCAGGGGAGGAGACCATGTCACTTATTGATTTTTGCCCTTCCTCTTGGAAAATGGATTCATGACTGTGGATGAGTGATTCCCTTATTCAGATGATATTATTACTAGTAATGATAAAAAGTAAAAACACCTCCAATAATGATAAAAACAAAAGCAGCACAACTAAATAAGAGAGAGACACACAGTTTACATGCATTAGGTTATAATGACAAACAAAACAACTCAATGCACCTGAATCATTGTAGTCGCAGAGCATTCAACACAAGTCTCAATCTCCCTAAACTGTTGCATGATCGGTCCCATGACCTCCTCCAGGCTCATGGCAAGATGCTCACTGCGCAAATCTAACTTGCACCCCGCAACAATAATAGGCACCTTAACCTATCCATTCAATATAATATTATACACAAATAAGCACTGCATCATTATAGTAATATTCAAAAATATTAAACTCTAACAAAAGTATAAAACATACCAACCTCTAAACTTCGAAGCTCGGGGAGCCAATAAGAACTCAAACGAGAAAGAGACATGGGTTGATTACATGCATACGTTAAAACCACAGCATCAGCTTTCTTCAATTCTTCATTAAGTTTACCTTTATTCTCCAAACTAAAATTGAACATATATAATGCACAAAAATCAGCATACTTTATACTGCGCACACTACTTTAAAGCTAACTACTCTAAAGCTAAGAGCTTAGAATACAAATAAAAATAAAAACTCCAAATAAAAACAAATCAAATCAAATATGAAATAGAAGTTCTGCACATACGAATGTACAGTGGGTGTGTACGGACAGTGTACCTAGAAGAGGTGTCGATGATGGTGACAGGGACGCGATCGGGATAGAAATCGAGAGGGAGGCGCGTGGGAGGATGAACTGGAGGGACCTTCTCCGGGATCGATTCGGAGGCGACAGCTGATATAAGGCTAGATTTTCCGGTGCCTCGGTCGCCAACCACCACAACTCTCACGCTGGTCCGAGCACTGGAGCCTAGACCACCTGGCATTTGGTCAAAATTTAAAAAATTATGAGGGCTTGGTTTTGAAATCAGAGCTTGGAGAGAGGAATCAGTGAAGTAGTATGTTTATTCAGTGAGGGGGTTTTTGTGCGAGAGAAAGAAGAGGGTACGGTATGCCTTGAGGAAAAAGGTTTTGATTGGGACCCTTAGATGATGTACGGATGTTAAACGGGCCGGGGAACCCGAGATCAATCTTCTTAAGTATGGTTCGGCCTAGGTTTGGTGGTGTTGATTGGGTCTAATCGAAAGGCCCGTGAGTATGTGGGCTTGATCCATTAGACCCATGAAACTAAAATGGAAAAACGTTTTATTAAATATTAATCATTAACGTATAACTCACGTGCTTGTCACGTCATATGTTAAGAAACTGACCAGACCAAAACCCTGGAACACTGTGAAGAGCGACTCCAGGGTTTAAGCAAAATGTTGCTCCGCTCAATCCGAGCCACCGTGGCTGCCGCACGGGTTTTCTCTACTAAAGCGGGGGAGGTAAAAACTGGTAGCGGTGCCGCCACTGGAAATGGTGGAGGCGGAGGTCGAGACACGCTGGGGCGGAGACTTCTGAGCCTGGTGTACACAAAACGCAGCGCGGCAATTACCGTTCGGAAATGGAAAGAAGAAGGTCACACGGTGCGCAAGTACGAGCTGAATCGTATCGTGCGAGAGCTCCGAAAGCTCAAGCGCTACAAACATGCACTCGAGGTTTGCAAAATTTCGTCATTTATTATTTAATTTAATATAATTTGTTATGATGCAAAATCATTAAAAGAAGCGAATTTTATATGTTTGAGGTTTTAAATTAAACATAAGTGGAATTGAATGATTTTCATGATATATTACTTCTAGAAAGGAAGTTTATCAGCTTTGAACTTGTGAGAAATTATGTCCTTTGATGATGGGGCTTATGTTTTAGGAAATAGATTTGATCATTTATGCAGGTTTGTGAGTGGATGACTTTACAGCAAGACATTAAGCTAGTACCCGGTGATTATGCGGTCCACTTGGATTTGATTGCAAAAGTTCGTGGTTTATCTAGTGCTGAAATTTTTTTTGAGAATCTTCCTGATAAGATGAGAGGTCAAGCCACTTGTTCAGCTCTGCTTCACACCTATGCCCAAAACAAGTTGTCTGCCAAAGCCGAGGCTTTAATGGCAAAAATGGGAGAATGTGGGTTCCTGAAATGTCCCCTTCCGTATAACCACATGTTATCCATGTATATTTCTAATGGGCAAGTGGAGAAGGTTCCTGAAGTTCTTCAGGAATTAAAGAAAAACACTTTGCCTGATGTTGTTACTTACAATTTATGGTTAACTGTATGTGCTTCACAAAATAATATTGAAACGGCTGAGAAGGTCTTTCTTGAGCTAAAGAAGGCAAAACTTGATCCGGACTGGGTAACATATAGTGCATTAACCAGCATGTACATAAAAAATGAACTCCCTGAAAAGGCTGAGTCTACTTTGAAGGAAATGGAGAAAAGAGCTTCTCGGAAAAATCGAATTGCTTATTCATCCCTCCTCAGTTTGCATACTAACATGGGGGATAAGGATGGAGTTCAGCGAATCTGGAAGAAGATGCAATCATTGTTTCGCAAAATGAACGATGCTGAGTATACTTGCATGATATCTTCGCTTGTGAAACTTGGGGAGCTCAAAAAAGCTGAGAATCTCTATAATGAGTGGGAATCCAGTTCAGGGACTGGTGATGCTAGGGTTCCAAATATACTTCTTGCGGCTTATATCAACAAAAACCAGATGGAAAAGGCGGACACATTTTACAGTCGGATGGTGCAGAAAGACATCAAGCCTTGTTACACTACTTGGGAACTTCTTACATGGGGTTATTTAGAAAAGAGCCATATGAAAAAGGTTCTAGATTGTTTCCAGAAAGCTATTGGTAGCGTGAAAAAATGGAATCCCGACAAAAGGTTGGTTACAAAAGTATTTAAGAAAATTGAGGAGCAAGGAAACATTGAAGCGGCGGAGCAATTGCTGGTTATTCTTCGAAATGCTGGCTATGTGACCACTGAGATATATAATTCATTGCTAAGAACGTATGAAAAAGCTGGTAAAATGCCTCTTATAGTTGCAGAGCGAATGGAGAAGGACAATGTTCAGTCAAATGCAGATACTCACAAGCTTATTAAAACAACTAGCACAATGCCAGTGACTGAAGTTTCAAGCAGCTTTCCTTGAGTAGAATTCTACAAAAATCTCTTCGAGCTCAAGATGAGAGGAGGGTTTACTTTTTCAAGTCAACATGAAGCATTAGATTTTTATTATTATTATTATTATAAATTGTATGTTCCATTTTTCTTCTGCAGTTGTGAATGGAGGACTATTAAAGAAGATATGAATGCATTGTGTTCAACCACCACAAAAGAGTTCTTTGAAATTAATATCAATTGAAAGGATTGACCAATCATCATCTATATCTTTTCTTCATGCCCTTGACCTAGACAATCTTCTTACTTTAAAGCTCCAACTCGTGCAATCTCTCTCATTAATTTCTAAGAATAATACTACTCATCCTAAGAAATATCCCAAACTGCTCATCTAGGTGATGTGTGAACCACATATTGATTAATGAAAACATTCAGTTGTTAATCGATCTTTCATGTAATCTTTTAAAATTATGCGGGTACAAAGAAGTTGCTGTGTTTTTTGAGCTTATATGGTGTTTAATGAATCTCAGACATTAGTTAAGGTATACACAAGTTGAATCGGACACCCCGATTATAAAAAAAAAAAAAAAAAAAAAGAGGCTAGAGGATGTTGCCCTGTGGCCCCTGTCCCAAAATAGAATGCGTTAAAGAGTTTGCTCTGTTCCAAAATAGCAAGATCTTACCTGAATTTCCTATCCACCCAAATGCACTTTCAGTTGACCAATTTGAATGGAATCCAATAACAGTGAAATTTCTAACCTTGATAAACAGTTCATTAGGGTTGACCAACCAATACTAAACTATATTGAAGTTCACCTCTCTTCTTTCAGTACTCAAGAATGATTGAACAGCCATGGCCCCATTAAACAAAGCATAAAGAAGATAAAAATTCAATTGTGGGTTTGTTATTATTGTATCAAAACACCCTCAAAATGAAGTAAATAAAGCTGTTACAAGCTTAGTGGTTCACCTACATCATCATAATATTAAAACCCCATAAACAAAGTTTGAAGAAATGAGGGCAGATGAATGGTCCCACCAAACAAAAACTGACCAGGCCTAATCTCATAACCTTGAAGAAGCCTTTTGTATAATAACAGATGTAAATACGTTATCTGTTCTACGGCCAGGCCATTTCCTAATCCAAACTTTCAAGGATTTTTCTGGTGGGTTGGTGAGGTGGTTAAGAAGAGGAAGAGACAAGATGCCGCTGAACAAAAGACATTGATAAATGTCAACTAATCAACAATATAACTACACAATAAAGAAAAAGAAGTGTACAAGATTGACAGAGAAAACTACAAGACAGGTAATGGTACAGCAGAGGAGTACGTTATGAGTAAACTGCAACAACCAATATCAAATACAAAGAGAGGTTTAACCAACTCAACCCAACCCCTGTAAGTATGTGTCTCTTTGACTCTAATAAGAATTATTTCTTCTAAATGACTTTAATGCCCTTTGTTTTTAATAAATGAACATAGTTCTAATTTTGGTGTATTTCATTAACCCTGTATTTTTTTTTTTTTTTTTTTTTTTAATAGGAGACTGTATGCAGTTATTGAAAAATAGTATGTACTCATATTAGGGTTTTTTTTTATGAGGGTTTTTTTTTTTTTTTTAAAGAATTGTTTGATATTCCTTAGGTGGGTTGTTGATAATCGTAGGGGACATTGTGAACAAATGTTAAAAATAATTTTAATAACTAATATGTATTTATTTTATTTTATCTTTATTAAGGTATTATATTTGTTTGGGGAATTTTTGATATTTTTAAAAGGGTTTTTTTAATATCATAAAAGGATATATACTTGGTTGTTAATAGGAATGATCATTTGAACTCTTATCTGACCGATAGTTTCAGGGTCTTGAGAATAGTTGAGGTGTGCATAAGTTGACCTGGACACTCTTAGTCATAAAAATAAAAAAAAACATATATATTTTATAATAAGAGTAAACGACTTTTTCCCACCCAATGTTTGTGTTAATGACAGTTTCCAGCCAAAAAGTTTCAAAATATTACTTTCCCACCCAAAGTAATATTTCTATTACTACCCAAAGCTAATTTTGGCGGCGAAAATTCTCTCCATCACCACCATTTGAACCTCCGGTCTCCTCTCTTACTCCAACACTTGATTTCTAGCCGATCGTCGGCCACTGTAAAGTTAGGATTTTCTGATTTCTGACTGATTTTGATAGTGAATATTCCATCAGTTACTACCATTCAATCCACCGGCATTCACTTTATAAAACCTTTCTAACCTTGACTCCTGGTAACTCGCCAAATGTTCGGTTGAGAAAGTGAATTGTATTTTGGGTATTAACAGAATATAAACTTTGGGTGGGAAACTGGTATGTTGAAACTTATTGGGTGAGAAAATGTCATTAAGGCAAACCTTGGGTGGGAAAAAGCCGTTTACTCTTTTTATAATAATAGCTGCATTTCATATTCAGGGCAGGCTTTAAGCATAATTTCGGTGAAAAATGAAGGTCAATTGTGGAAGTGGAGAAGCAAGTGATACATCGTGGTGACACGTGGCTGCAACGGTTCCCCTTGGAAGTCGTCTGGATTTGGAAACTAAACAGGCACGCGCTCTATATAAGTAAGTGGTATGATATGAATAATCTGAAGACAAGAAAAGATAGGAACTTATCTAAGTTGAGAGTACAAAAATCTGTACACGTAAAATATTTAGTTGAGTTTCAGGTTAGAAGTTGGAACTGAGACGAGACCACAGTGTCTCTCTCTATTCCAGAACAAGAAACTAACTGAAAATAATAAACCATTCTAATAGTATTAACAATAAGTCTCAATTAACTATCTCCCTCTTCAATGGCTGGTTTTGTTGAGGATGGAGAGCTCGGTTATGAAGAAGGTTTTGTTGAGGATGGAGAGCTCGGTTTTGAAGAAGGATTGTCTTGGCTTCCTTCCCATGTTCTTGATGAAGCATTTTCTGATACTCATCATCATCTTCAGGTTTCATTAATTTTTCGTTTTCTCAGCTTAACTGTTATATATAGATTTTGATCATGGTTTATTTTTTATTGCAGAGACAAGTGAAGCACAAGCAGCATAAACAGCAACATCTCCCTCGTTCTAAATTGCCACCAGAGCCACTTCCAGGGGTAAGCACATCATCTTCAGGACTCACGGAATGCGAGGAAGTATTAGCAAACTGTTGATTTTTTTTTTTTTTTTTTTCTGGTAAAATGGGAATATAGTAAGAGTAGTATTTACTTTCTTCTGCTAAATAAAAAATTTAGAAACTTTTGTGGTTTCAGGAATAGATTTGAGCAATTTGGTGTCAATGCTGATTCAAAGACTATGCTATTAAATAGCATATATAGCTTTATGTAGTTTGGAATGAGTTCCTTTGTTTAGGAGACACTTCCTGAAAGCATATTTATATTGTACACTGGTTATATGGTTGGAAGAACGAAGGAAAAATTTCAGAAAACTTTCAATTATAGCTCCCATAGACTCAGTTGAATTTCTTTCTTTTCAAGATGCACAAATACAAGAAGGGTTTGAATGAAAGTTTGTGTTATTAGCGCCATTTATCCTCGTAGGCCAATGTTTTGACAGATAATACATTGTTCCTTAGCAAATTTAACACCACTGAACCATGCTTGAACCTGAAGCATTATTAAATTTGTAGGAGAACTTATGGTTTACTTATATTTTCTCTGTAATTGTTTCATCAGCAATCCAAAACTAGCCCACGGCCGCATCAAAGACCAAAGATCCCCAGTAAATGGGCATCCAGAGGATCTGGAATGCAAGCTATTTTTCTAGAGTCTGGCCAGAAATCATGTGGGACTGGGGTTTTCTTACCGCAGAGAGGCGGCGCCAATTTCCAACCGAGCAGAAAACCAGGTACTACTCTCTTATATATTACTGAATAACTGAATACTCGAGAAGAAATTTTCATTTAATGATTTCGTGAGCGCGATAATGCACAAGAATTTTCGCTGAAGGAAAATTTTTGCAACAACGTTTTTGCAGCTTGCTCTCCTGTCCTTCTTCCTTCCCGCGTTGTTCAAGCTCTCAACCTCAATGTACATGCAATAGGCCTACAAAAGTCGCCGCGAAAAGGTTCTCATCTTCTTCTCTACTGCATTTTATCATCTTGTTGTTACAAGTTCTGAAATTGATCTCTGAAGAAATTTCTTTTTTTCTGCAGATTCTAAAGCTGATAACTTAAAAGGCGGGGATTGTAATAACTCGGTCAAGAATAAAAGTACTGGGAATGATGTGTCGACAAAATGCGGCGTAATCTCGCAGCATCAGAGTTCATCACCGGAGATATTTCTTCCGAAGGAATGGACTTACTAGATCCCAAATATCAAGTGTGACACTCACCATAAAATTCCATAAAACCAAAATTAATCTCGAAATTGATTGAAATGCTGCTGATTTCTATCTACATTATCATGTATAATGATCTGTAATGTAAATAATAACAGCACGAAATCGCATTGTGATTAATGTTTATCAATGTAATGCCAATATATATTAGTAAAAGCTTCATCTTGCATTCTTTTTAACACTTTAACAAAACAAATTACAACCTCAAAATTTTGCTTTTAGGGGGTTAAAAGCGAAAAATATAAACTTAGAAGGTTTGAAAAAATATAGATATGTTATCGAAACGTGGACCAATAAGAAATTTTCTGCAGAGGTCGTAAAATAACTGAATAAGTACAGAAGTAGATGATTTTTTGAGCTATATATTTTGAGAGGTTTTATTGGGAGTACAAAAAGATTGGCCAAATTTTTTGCCGCTCCCCGGGGCCAAAGTATCGCCATGGAAGCAACTGTTCTTAGCTCTCAGCAGTTCACTACACAGCTCTTCTCGGAAAAACCCCTAAAATTTAGAGGTAAAGTTCACCAGTTTGTTTTGTTTCATAGAAAACGAACGAACAATACAGATAACACAAAAGAGAAAACAGTAACTGAATTCGAGAACGCTTCGTATTTTGTTCTGTTATTTTTTGAAACCCTAGAAAACACTAGATTTCTCAAAAAAAAAAATCCGTATGGTTTGTGCTCTTTTGTTAATTGTAAAGTCAATTTTGCTGAATTGTGCTCTGAATTTTTACTATCACTTGCTTCTTTGTATTTATTGTTTCCTTCACTCCTTTTTTTTTTCCCTGTTCACTGTTTGTTTAGAAATTCAACCAACCATGTTTTTGTAAGCGTTTGGAGGATTCGGGAGGCTGTAGAAATCATATTATGATTACAAGGAGATGAAGTATAAGTAGTTGTTTGTATCAATAATATTGCCATCTAATTATCCTTTTCCATTGTTTCTTATGCGGGCAAAACCATTTCGCCTTCTAGTTCAAATTGATCTCCCTATGTATAAAAATATATACACTGTGACTTACGAGATGATAAATTGTTTGGAAATATTAGTCAAATTTTTAATCCACAATTTTTAGTTAAAAGGTTTGGACTTAAATATATGTACGAGCTGGGATATTGTGACTTAAGCTATGTGGATGTTATTATTTTTGTGAATTATTCTTCACCTTTCTTTTGATTAAAAGAAAAACATTAATTAGAGTTTTTGTGATTGGAATGCCGTTGTCTTTTTGTGGGTTAGTGTAACATTTTCATACGCTTAATACAAATTTAATTTGACCTGTATACATAACATTCAGGTGGTCTGGCATGTGATTTCCTATTTTGTAATCCACTTTGTGTGAAGACGTGTGCTTCTATGAAGTTAAGTTTAGTAGAATCCAGCCAAAGGAATGCGGTGTTGCTGAACAGACCTTTTTTGGTGAAAGCAAGGAGTGAATTTTCTGTCAATTCTTCAGATGGGCTTCAAAGTAACTATATGAATGTTGAGGCTACATCTGTAGAATCTCTGAACCTTGAAGATGTTCCACCAAGATTGGATGATGGGCCAGACATTCCTGGTTTATGTGATGGCAATAACTATGAGAATTCACAGCCGATACCTAAAACGTTTAAAAATAGGTTCTTGAATTTTGTACGCTTAAGTTCCGTCCTCAATAATGCTGCAGAATCATTTTTTAAGAGTGAGATACGACGAAGATTATTTGTGACTGCTGTACTTCTTATAATCAGTCGTGTTGGATATTTCATTCCTCTACCTGGATTTGATAGAAGACTGATACCTCAAGATTATCTTAGCTTTGTTTCAGGATCTGTTGGTAAGGATAATAAATAACGCACTCATGCATACATAAAGAAATTGTATTTTTTGTATGCATGGTCTTACATGGCTTTTCAGCTTGCTATATTTAGTAATGTTTTCTTATTTCAAACATGCATTTAGTCACTAATGTTGTCATTGGCAGATGAACTTGGTGATTTTGCAGCGGAACTAAAACTGTCACTTTTTCAGCTTGGAATTAGTCCCCAGATAATTGCATCAATACTAATGCAGGTTTATTATAGCTTTTCTTCAGTCATCTAACATGCATCTTTATTGCACAATATGTAACCTGATATTCCACTTCCATTTCATGTTATAACCCAATTTATGTGAGATTATATAATCTGTGGAAGCAAGATATAGAGGCTTTATCTGTTTTGCCTATAATGCCACTGTCACAAATTCAATTAGGGTAATTATTGTGGACTGCTTTTGGGGATCTTTAAATTTTATTGCCACCCTATGTTTTACAAAACTATTAAGAACACCCCTTTGGGAGTTATGATAACTTTATAAGGTTTTATTATTCTTAATTTCTACCAAAAGCTTTCCTATTTGGGGTTGACTTTAATAAATTTCCAAAAACATTGGGTAATGGTAAACGTCAAGGATATATCAGGGGTTTCATAATAATTGCTCATTTAGTTATGATTACTATGTTGATCTTTAAGAATTATCGTGTTGAGTAGAAAATGTTCCTTGTGATACTTCTTTGGGTCTAATTAGGTGTTTAGCTTTGTTTTATTACGTTTTTGGAAGTCAGAAAAATTCTTGTTTTAGCATAATTTTATTATTTTGTTACTAACTTTTCAATATTATGTGCCTTTTGGTTTTTCTTGCATCTAGATAGGTGCTTTAGGCTTGTGTTGTTACATCTTGAGAGCTGCTATATACTTTATCATCATTTTAGTTGTTGGAAAATATGATGAAAGAAGGAAAATCTTTTATATTTTTGAATATACTTTTGAATACTCTTTGCAATTGTTTTAGAGTTCTTTTTTTTTTTTTTTAAAATAACTTGGATTGATATCTGTGTGTAGATAGGTGTCGCAATTTTGGTTTATAATTAGCTAATAGAATCTTTGGGGCCTTGGTGATGGCTGTTGCTTCATAAAGGAGGCATGTTCCTAGAAAACAGTATATGGATGTTTATATGAATAGTCTTTCTCCATGCATAATTTGTGTTTCATGCTGTTTTGTTCATTAAACTCTGTCTACACATTGTTTGTTGGGATGAGGGGGAGACAGAATACCACATCTCCTTTCTTCTGCTATACTGTATTTACTGACAATTGTGTGCTAAATTTATGTCTTGAATGTGCAGGTACTCTGTCACGTTCTTCCATCCCTGGTGAAGCTGCGGAAGGAAGGCTTAGATGGCCATGAGAAGATTAAGAGTTATATGTGTGTCTAGTTATTCATCTCAAGCAGTGAGATGAGTCCTTGCTATATCATTATGTTTTGAGGATCATTTTTGATAAATTGTATTGTAGGTTACAAACCCCAAATATTTTCCTTCCTTTTTCAGATGGTGGATGTCACTAGGCTTTGCAATATTGGAAGCTCTTATAGTTGCTTGTTATTCACTTCCATATTCGATTTATGCTGCCAGCTACAGGTAACTTTTCAAGCAGAATATTAATTTGCAAAATTCTTTAATTTTTATCACCTCACAAGTAATTGAAAGTAGAGTTTTGTGTCCTGTAACTAGCTCGAAGGACATCTTTCATAAATGCTCTTTGTTTTAAGTGTTTGGTTTACGTTCATACTTTGGATAATGAATTATGCATTCATTAGCTTTCTCTTGCTCTTTATTAACGGGTTTAACAGTATGGTGAATAATAGTTCTAACACTATTTTGACCAGACAATTTTTTCTGGAAGGAAACTGCTGTGTTACAATTTTTACGGCTTCTGCAGGGTCAAGCATGTGATGGTGACAGCATTTTTGTTGGTTTGTGGTGCAATGACTATGACATGGATCTGTGATACGATAACAGAGTCTGGATTTGGTACGTCTGGAATACATTCTCAGCTATAAAGACCATATGGTCTCAGAATTATGATTATTATATGTGCCTGATTATTATATGTGCCTACTATCAGTTTAGCTGCTTCTTTTTGATGCTTTTACTGAATGACGTTAGCATATTATGGGAAATCTTTTTATTTACATTGACACCTATGTAGAGCATAAGAAATTTCTGCCAGAAAAACTATAAAGTACCATTATAATGTCCTAATCAGGAACATTCAGTGGAGATTTATTTATTTATTTGAGGTTATTGGCATAATGTTGTGTAGCAGAAAACATTGATCTCATGTAGTTGGCTGTCTTTGAACTAATTGTTCTCATTTGGCTGTCTGTCCTGTTTGCTACTTCCAAAGAATAAATAAATAAATGGATAAAAGAACAAAATGAAATAAACAAGAGATGTGGGATTTTTAAGATGTTAGATCTAATTAACTGAATTGTGCTCATACATTCCATTGTTCCATGTTATGGCACAATTCTATTGCTGAATGGGTTATGTGTATTTCAGGCCAAGGATCATCTCTGATTATATGTGTGGGGATATTGACGGGCTATACCGACACACTGTACAAGATGCTGTCTCAGCTCTCAGGTATGTGATAGCGGGTGATCTTGCTGTTGTTTAATTTTAATATATTCTTTTCCACTTCTTCCATTTATTCATATTTTTGAAATTTTGGAAGAAAAGAAATACTTATGGAGCTCTTTTCCTGCCCAAATTTCACCTGCTTTACAATATCTGGAATGATTTAACTAGTTAAGTTTGACCCTTGAAGCTGCATGATAAGCTGATTTTTCATTCTTGAGCATTGGAAGTGGCCTTTTTGTAGTCAATTATTGCCAGGTCATGCAAAATTTGTTTGTCATTTGAATGAATGATGATGTTTTGTTTTTGGGCTTTCTTTTCCTGAATAAAAAGGAATGCTTTTAGACATGAAATTGCATTATACATGTCTATGAACTTTTTGCAAATATGACATTTTTAGTCTACTCCAAGGTGTAAGAGAGCTTGAAAGGACTGTCAGAAAAAATAATTTTGAAACTGTGATACCTTGCTCTCTGTTGTAGAGCTTGCAAAGGGAAAGTAAATCATCTGGTAATGACAAAGTATGATTGAAATTTTAATGTTATCCATAAAATCAGAAGTTCATACTAATTATAAAGTTTATACTGTATGTGTGAATTAATAGATGTGGTCTCTTTTATTTATTTATTTGAGAAGAAAGTAAAATAATATCATGAATAGATGTAGTTGTTTTGAGTCCACATATAAAAATTCAACCAACTTAAATATAATCGAAACTTGGAGATTATATATATCAGAGGCTGAAATATGGTCTTTAGATTGCTACTAATCATGTGTGTAGGGTGAATAAGTGGAGTATATTGATAAAAAAATTTACCTTTGAACTACTGTGCTAATGATTTGTTGCTCCTATGCCATTGTAGAAACTGCTAAAATCTACGGTTGATTTTCTGTTTTCTGTATGGAGATAGAGGTCATATGGATTTGCTCAGGATTTGTCCAAACTGCTTTAGTCTTTTCATGTCTTGTCAGTTTCAGAGTCAGGTAACAGCTATGATTTGAACATTTTCAATATGTTGCAGGAAGTGCTTTGAGTTGGTGGCCATATATGCTTGCAGTGTTGGGAGTTTTTACCATAGTCACTATGTGGGCAGTTGTTGTAACGGAAGGGTGCAGGAAAATAAAATTGCAGTACTATGGATTTAAACTTGCTTCTGCTGCAAGGTATCCATTTTTTGCTGCCGTCCAGACATACAAATACGCTGCATAAATTCATTCCATTCTCATGCTATTATCATATTCTATTATATCAAAATAACTGATTATGAAGGCAGTCTTTCCATATTAAAAGATGTTACTAATATTTCATGCTATGGCTTTCGTTGCCTCAGCCATGATCAATAATTAGCATTTACGGCAATTTTGTTGAAATTATTATTATTTTTTTCTGCCAGATACTAGCTTCTGTAGCTCATGCAATTACTTTGGACATTTGTAATAAAATCTTGATCACTGATCTTTTTTTGGTTGGTTTTGTGTTTTGGACAGAGAAGATTCTCCAATTACTGAAGTGGAGCCGTACATCCCTTTCAACATTAATCCATCTGGAATGCAACCTGTTCTCACAACAACTTATCTCTTGGCATTTCCCAGCATTCTTGCAAGGTAATTGCAGTGAAAACAATCTTAGATTTTATCTCAAATCTTGTTTATTTTGAATCTGGAAGATGAATCTCCATTATTTCTTCCTATTCTGTTACTGAAAATCTTTTCTACATTAGGGTCGTTTGTGTCTTACTGCATAAGATCAACTGGTTTTTCCATTCCTGTTGCTGTGTAGACAAATATGCAGTCAACTTTCTGATTAAAACTTGCTTTTGTGGAGGATACATAACTAATTTCTAATAGAGTATTGTTTGCAGTATCCTTGGTTCGCCATTTTGGGAGCATGTTAAGGAGATTTTGAACCCTGAGACTTCTGTTGGTGCACCGCCTTTGGTTTACTATTCAATATACGCTTTCTGTGTCTTTTTGTTCAATATATTTGACATTGTAAGTATCTTGTCAATCCTACTAGTTTTGGTTATTCTAGAACCATGTATGCTACATCATCAAAACAGGGTAGAATGCATTATTATCATGATGACCCTTTTCTGTATATCTTTTTGTTTATCTCGTCAATATCATTCCTATCAGAAAAATATGTAAAAAGAGATGATCTGGTTTACTTTTTATGCTTTATTCTTCTTATTATTATTTTTTAAATGTTCTTTCAATACAGTATTCATGGTTCATAAGTTGGCTGTGGGATATGACATGTGAAGTTGAGGAAAAGTTCAATGTTCCATATGTGTTTCATCACGATTACTTTATATAGTGTACAATAATTCTCTATATTCACACAATCATGCAAAATGCACACGAAACCTTGTGAAAAGTACTTCTATTGTAAGTTCCCTAAGATCATTTGAAATGGTAGAAAGAAGTAATTATTACATGGGACAATTAATAAGGTTGCTTTAGCTCTAATAGTAGTTCACTTTCTAGTAGTTTTATTCATTTATTCTGTGGAAATTACAGTAAACATTGACATCATACATTAATATGTAAACATGCTGGGCTAGCATTTTTGAGAATATTGTAAATTTGTCGGAAAAGGGCATGGTTTTGAATTCTTAAATTATTTTTGTTATACTCCTTTCATTCTTCTTACATCTCATTTAACTGTGTAGGCCAACTTGCCTAAGGAAATTGCAGATTACTTGAACAAGATGGGTGCCAGGATACCAAATGTAAAGCCCGGGAAGGCCACCATTGAATACCTCACGAAGATTCAGGCATCAACCCGTTTCTGGGGTAATTTTTCTTTATGAAGTTGCAAAAATAAATGCACTCTCTTGTATTAAGCTTATTCTAATATAGTTCCAGGTATTTGTACATATTTCTGCTTGTTGGTAAGCCATTCTTAGTGGTGTAAACTGTGCAGGGGGCCTATTATTAAGTATTTTGGCAACTACATCAACCATACTTGATCACTACTTACGCCGGATCAATGAGGGTTTTGCCATTGGGTTTACATCCGTTTTAATAATTGTAAGTGTATTCTAACCTTGACTTGTGCACCAGTCTCAATAAGCGTGTAATGGTTTAACATGGTATTTTTCTACGGCCCAAACTCTCATATCTGCATGTTGTCTCATGAGCCTGACTTGTGTTTTGTCAAGGTGGGTTCAATCATTGAACTTAGAAGATCCTATCAAGCATACAATGTTATGCCAAGTTTAAGCAAAGCTTTAAAGCGCTATGGATTATGATTTCTGAAGAGGCAATCTTCTTTCTTTCCAAGTACGAGTTAAAACTTCATTGTTAAACCTGTTTTGGATTGTTGGTTTACATTTAGGGAATTCCTTTTGTGCAATGCAGAGATTCTCCATACCTGAAATTGCTCACAATCTAGTGTACAAGAATCTTTCGGTTCAAAGGAGCTGGTGCTGTTGCAAGTGTAACAATGATAAAGTCGACGAGTTATTTGGTTTCTTATTCAATGCAACTGTGGCGTTGAATCAACATTGTGAGATGACAAGGCTCCTCTGTTATTTAGAAGGGATTTTGGTTCCACACTGTCACAATTAATTCAATTAGTAGTAGAGTAGTAGGAGGTTTTACGGAAGTATGGTACATATTGTCATTTCATGCAGTTGCGAATTGTAGAGTTATGTATGATAGAATTTAAAAATAGAATGCTAGTTAGGAGGTGCAGTATTAGATTATAACACAAGTAAAGCCCTACTGTGACATTACTTAAATTGAACTGAGTTATTCAAGGTTGTATTTTACTACCAGGTTTGTCACTGGAAGAAAGGGTTTCATTTTGGATTTTCTCTCATCTATTATAAATAGATAGTATTATACTCACAAATTCTTTTTTTTAACAAATGAGACATGACAGTTCACAATCAGTTAAACTAGACCTATTGTTGGGCAAACAAAATCCATTGCGAGCTGTCTTGTCGCATTTGTAAAAGAAAGTTATTGAGAAGAGTTTGTCAACTTATCTTTATTAATTATAAATTCATCTAAAAATTGGTTAATTTGTGAACACATTTTAGGCTTCGTTTGATACACTCTTCCAAATATTATTCTAGGTTTTTTCAATAAAGTTAAACAGTAAAATTAATTTATTCTCAAAATATTATTCTATATTATTCAATTTCTATTAAACCCTCTTAAATTTGTTAATTTAACTAAACACTCTTAATTTTTTTTTAGAAATTACAAAAACACCCCAGCAACCAGCATTATACCAGATTCCGACCACCATTGTCGGAAGTTGGCCGGAATCTGGTATAATGACGCACTATCAGTTGAATCTAGCTAGTAGTGCGTCGATCTAGCCTTTTTTGGCCAGATCCACAATGGAATTGGTCGGAAAATATAAGATCTACGGGCAAAGATTTGGACATCAACGACTAGATCTTTAGCCGTAGACAGTCGTCAATGACGGCCAAGATATGGTCGTCGTTGACCATCAACGACGGTTGTATCTTTGACCGTTGTTGACAACCAAATGCGGTCAGATTTGGCTGTCAATGATCAGATCTAGCTATAGATCTGGCATTTTCTAACCATATCTACTGTGGATCTGGTCGAAAAATGTCATATCGGTGCACGACCAGCAAGATCTAGCCAGTCATGCATCGATACGGCGACTCCGACTACCCTCCGGCAGTGGTGGTTGGCTGTCTGTATTTTAATGGGTGGGTTGAGAGTGTTTTTGTTAACTTTTAATATTTTATTATAGGGGTGTTTAATAAATAAACAAACATAAGAGGTATTTTTGTTAATTTTTAAATCTTACATCGTAATACCTATCCAATTTAACTTTTTTCAAAATATTATTCTATAAATATCAGAATAATGAACTAAACGGACCCTTAGTATTTTACAAAAAACAAAAAAAAAAAATGAATACATATATAAGTCAATATTAATAAATGTCGATGCCTTTTACCAATTTGTATACAAAAATTTATAAACGTAGATCATTTAATTTTTTCATATCCTATCCTTCATCGAAAATTGTCACCCTTATAAAAGGATGATTCGCACTAAGGCCCTCGTGTTTAAGGTTATTTATTTTAGAAGGCTATTATTTGCGCCTTGCCATCCCGCCCAAATGTTTAAATTTAGTAAGTGCGTGCCCTAAACAAGCAAGTTCTTAGGCGGAATTGATGGAAGGAGAAGGAAGTTCAAGTTCAGAAATGGAATTCACAGAGATTGAGAGCAGCGCAGACTCCTTGGATGCCTCTGCTATCTTCCACGTCATCAAAGACGTCTTCGGCTTCGTTCTCTATATGCACCAGCAAATCCCTTCGTTAGTCCCCTATCCTTCTCTCTTTATCGTGAATGTTAGGTTTTCAATGCCTTTCGTCTCTGAGTTAGTTCAAGTTCTTAGCATATCGGTACAATTTGTTGCTGTAAACCTAATTTCATGTATTGCTTAATGTCAAACCACTATCACTCCTAATTAACTTTTGTAAAGTGCGATTAATGTGGAGATTTCATCACTTTTGTTATTGTTATGCTCTAGAAGCTCCTAATTTAGTGAAAATTATGAATTTTGTCGGATCTAGATTCTTTCTGTAACAATCATTCATTTGATATGTAAAAGCTCGTCTTCAATACTGTCTTATTTACCTTCTTTTGAAGAGTTCAGGTACTCAATAGCCCTAAATTATTCATGTGACCTGACACAAAAGTTCAAAAGCCAAGAATCATAGATCTCCCTGTATATTGCTAGTTGCTTTATGCTCTCTTGGCGTAATGGAAATGGTGAATTTTGTTATTTATGATCGGTAGGCTTCTAAAATTGGTTTCTTTTATGAAGCATTTTGCAGGATATGAGCCTTGAATTTGAGTCACTACAGAGCGAGTATAAGGAATTGGTACGTAAGCTTTGACAAGGTAAATTTGTGTCATATTGTTTTGGCTTGGTTTTTGCACCCTAAGAATTGTGGGTTATAGGAGATGGCTTTAAGACAAAGCGAATTGAAGGCATCATCTCGAAGAAATCACACTAACAGAATGAGAGAGCTCAAGCATGGGATTAGAAGAGGGGAGAAGTTGATGAACACAGTTTCTAGCTTCCAGACTGCTCTGCAATTGATCATAAGTGAGAGTCCTAATATACAGGAAGTCATTTTGGTTCTTGGAGGTAGTCCATTACGACCTCACCATGTTTATCAGTTGTTCTTTTCCCATGGAAAGTCTGTACCCAGAGGTGGAGTTGATTTCACTAAGAGCAAAGTAGCAGAAGGGCTTTCACGAAAGGTTCACTTGGACTATTTCTACTTCCATGATAACTTGCTTCTTTTTGAACCAATATCTCATGCTTTATTATCTGTCAATAGGCTATTCGAACGTTGATCTCAAAGGGTGCTGGATCTGGTTCCTATCCGGGTAATTAGTTGAGTGTGTCTTGTCAAATTCCAGTCTTCTGGTGAAACCCGAAAGTTATAATTAATATTTCTTTTAGGGCCTTCTAAATTGTTTCTATTGGTCAAAGCACCCTCTTCTTTGAATATGCCTCCGCATTTTCTTCCAAAACGTGACTTCAGATACAGCAAAAAGGTAGGCTACATGTCTCTATGGTTTCATTATGTTTTTAATTGCATATGAGGGTTCCTAAGATCGTACACAACTTTGAAAATGGTAGTTTAGTAGAAGTTTCTAGAAATTTTAAGTCACTAGATGTGGTGGCAGACACTATGTTTGATCGATCCAGTAATCGGAATTGAAATATTGCATTATAGACAGTCTTAACTTTTTTTATAGCTTTTTTAACCTCAACTATCAAATTACTTCTTTTACACTCTTGAAAACCAAATTTTGGTGGATCACATGCTTGATTCTCATAGCTGCTAGTACCAAATAGCTTATATTTTGTTGCTTTGTTGCACATAGAGCTAATAAAAATGCATATTTATATTCTAATGAAACATTTTTAATCAATAAGTTAACACTTCTGATAGCAATTTAATTGCAGATTGTACCTTTAAGGCTGCGGTTTAAGTGCAAAACACAAAACAAGGAAATGAGATCTCCCAGTCATGCTTCTCAAACCTGTAGTTCCATGGGTTTGACAGATTCTACTTCAGATAATTTGATCTGGTATGCGAGGCCTAAATTTGGAAGCAATGAGATCTGATGTGCGTCTACTATTGTTATTTAATTGTTGCTGCTCACTGCTATTACATGAACATTATTGCTTTTTCAATTTTCAATTATTCTTATATTTGTGATCATACATTTTATTCTAACAAGGTTGAAGTCTTTATCAATGAGTATTTGGGTGGAATTTTTTTTTTTAAGTTTTATAGTGGTAGGTGATTCCAAGCTCCCATATAGCTATAATAAACTCGTTAAAGGGTACTTTACACATCCCTCAAAGATTTGGCCTTCCATTCATGTATAGTAATTATGTCTAATCTCTTACGCAAGGTTGTGAAACCCGGACCGGACCGGGCGGTCGAACCGGTCAGACCGCCACCCGCTTGCATTTCCGGTTTAAAGAGAGCAAATAACCGGGATTTACGGTCAAACCGTTTCAAACCGCGGTTGGACCGTCGCACTGTAGCAAACCGACGGTCCAACCAGTATTAAACAGATTTCCGGTCCACACCCCCATCCGGTTTAACACATGAAATAAGAAAAAAAAAAAAATTTTAAATTAAAAACCACAGTTGCAGAGTTGCTCACAGCCACACACACAAAGTCAAAGTGTCAGACCAAAGTCTCAAAATTTGTAACAAATTTTCAATTTGCTTTTGAGCTATAGATACAGAGCCGTCTTGCCCCTTCTTCAGTTTTTCACTTTTTCATCTTGGATTGCTACTGCCAGTCTGCCATTCGCGATCTCCTCCACTCTCCAGTTTATCACTTTTTCATCTTGGTTTGCTACTGCCATTCGCGATCTCATCCACTCTCCAGTCTATCATCATCTTGGTTTGCTAGTTGCTACTGCCATTCGCGATCTCCTCCACACTCCAGTCTAGTCCTCCTCTTCGTGTCCTCCATTCGCGATCTCAAAACTCAGAAGTCAGATCTCCTTCAAGTTTTCAGCTAAGCTTCAGTGATTCAGCCTCACGTCTTCACTCTTCACTTTAGTCTTCAAGTCTTTGGTCTGCAGTCTGCTCTACTCTGCTTCAGCGCTTCTTCCTTGCCGTGGCTGGTCTGCTGCCTGCAACTCTTCATTCTTCAACTTCCAGTCTTCAACGTGAACTCTTCAATCATCACCATCGCCATTGATATTACTTTGTAATGCCTTTAATGTTGTTTGAAACTTTAGAGTTTACTTTAGACTTGAGAATTGAATTTGTAAACTTTAACTATCAAACTTTGATGGTTTTATTATTGTTGTAGGGTTGGTTTGATGGTTTTTAAACTTTAATTAGATGGAGAAAATTATGTTGTAGGGTTGCTTTTGATGGTTTTTAAACTTTAATTAGATGGGGAATCTGAATTTTTTGCCTTTTTTACGTTTTTGCTTATTTCAGTATGCTGATGTCAGCATGATATTATGCTGACATCAGCATGTTGACGTCACCGGTCGGACCGACCGGGAACCGGCCATTTGGCCAGGTCGGCTCCCGGTCCGGTTTTCAGAACATTGCTCTTATGTTCATGTTATCTTCAATGCTTCTTGGAGGAAAACATCATAGCTGCTTCCTTGCTAATGGCTTTAAGTTGAAGAATATTACATGGTTTAAAATGAGCTCCATGGCCTTGCCTTGTGCCTTCTTTGTTATTATTTTCGCTTTCTTAGATTTTGCAGATTCTAGACTTTGCCTTTACTTATTTATTATTTTTCTTCTTGTTATCTTTATAGTACCAGTAATTGTAATGATATTGTACTGAAATCTGGCAGTTGGTGTGCGGATGATAAATGTAGGACCAGAAGAATCCTCGAAATCCTTATTTATCGTAACCCTCACTAGGCCATTCTTATTCCTCAGGGTGTATCCCACTAGAATGTTTATATTGTTGCTGTTGGACAACTTTCCAAACAATGTGCATAATTTCTTTACCATTTATTTTCTGTTATTTTGTGACTTGACGTCACAATAGCTTTGCATTTCATCAATATGGAAACTTCAAACTTAAAACAATCTCATACTTTGCTTCTCTTTCTTATATTTTATTGCAGAATGTGTGTATTGACATATCTGATGTTGGTCTTGTTGCAGGTTTCAATGCCGGCATGTAATCAAGGGCATAGCATTCAACACACCTACTGAAGAATAAGAAAGCTGTTCTCCTGGCAATATAAAGAGGATTTCTTGTGCTCTTGCATTTGCATAGCCTGGCCTCTCTGACGTTCCATTTTTCTTTTTTCTTGATTGTAATCAATTCGTGTAAAATTTTAACACAAAACTGCAAATATTAATGTAGCCTTAACAAGCACCTGCTCATACTGACCCTAGTATTGGCCTAGTTCAGCTGGTTGAATCTCTTCGATTTGTAAAAGTGGTCTTAAGAGTTTGTTTCAATAGAGTAAAATTACGAAGAAATTGTTTTAATAGAGTGAACTTTTGTCAACTTGTATCTTTATAAGAAAATATTCCCTATCACTGATACCTATAAACCGCTAACAGTAATATTATACTCTTCTCACTAATTGTCTTTCACAAATATGGCGTGTCAGTTCGCAATTGATCAGCTTATAATGAGTTTTGCTTGATCAAATGTGAGTTAACTAATTATAAGTTGTCACGTTGCGTTTGTAAGAAATGTTTGTCAATTTATTTTTATTCGAACTTCTAATTATGAGACGCATGAAACACATGGCATTGATGTGACAACCCAAGATTAGAGGGTTATATATACCTGTGCTAGGGCAGCACTTATACAAATGATTTATTGAATGATATATTTCAAGTTCAGATTATAAGCATAATTATTCAACCACGAAAAAAAAGTTTTGGGAATTTAAAATTAATTAATATATTTTAAAGGTGGGCATTTTATAAACTTAATTAAGAAAGACTGAATTTTGTTTAGAAAAACACACAAATTGGAGATACGACTACGAGGAACAGTACTGTTTGAACCAATAGCTGGGATGGGCCGGGCCGGGCCGCCAATTTTAAATTGGGCCTGACTCGTTGAAACCTCTAGTCACTTCAAACGTTCGTCGTTGTCTGTAGGGAAGCAATTTCATTTTCAGCTAGCAGCTTCACTGAACTGAACTAGCTCTTCTGAAAAACCACTAAAACCCCTAAGTTTTCAACTCTCCTCCTCCTCTCTCAATCAGAGGGCCTCCCTCAATTCAATCTATCAATCAGAGGACCCTTCATAATTCAAATCTATCCTTGGGACAAGGACGGTGAAACAATGATCTTCAAACTTGAAGATGTCACAGTTTATTTCCCGTACGATAACATCTACCCCGAGCAATATTCCTACATGCTCGAACTCAAGAGGGCTCTCGACGCCAAAGGCCACTGCCTTCTCGAGATGCCGACCGGCACCGGCAAGACCATAGCTCTCCTCTCTCTAATCACGAGCTACGCGCTTTCAAAGCCGGAGAACCCGATCAAGTTCGTTTACTGCACGCGCACTGTTCACGAAATGGAAAAGACTTTGGCCGAATTGAAGTTATTGCATAATTACCAGACTCGTCAATTGGGGCCCGCCGCCAAGATTCTTGCGATTGGATTGTCTTCCAGGAAGAATCTTTGCGTGAATTCTAGGGTTTTGGCTGCGGAGAATCGTGACTCCGTGGACGCCGCGTGTCGGAAACGGACCGCCAGTTGGGTTCGTGGCTTGGCTGCCGAGAATCCTAATGTGGAGACTTGTGAGTTCTTTGAAAATTACGAAAAGGCCGCTTCAGCGGCGGTTTTGCCTCCCGGGGTTTATACATTGCAGGTAAATATTACATTTTTAGAAAGAATGTAATCCTTTACTTGAGATTATTGAATTTAATCTGGATAATATGATGATTGAAGGATCTGAGAGCGTTTGGGAAGCAGAAAGGGTGGTGTCCGTACTTTTTAGCTAGGCACATGGTTCAATTTGCGAATGTGGTGGTTTATAGTTATCAGTACTTGCTTGACCCGAAGGTGGCTGGTATTATATCAAAGGAAATGCAGAAGGAGTCTGTTGTGGTTTTTGATGAGGCTCATAATATTGATAATGTGTGCATTGAAGCACTTAGTGTTAGTGTGAGGAGGCAGACGCTGGAAGGTGCCAACAGGAATCTTAATAGGATGAACCAGGAGATTGAAAGGTATGGTCTTTTTTTATCTTTTTCTGTTTTGTTGAGATCTATTAATATGTTCTGTATAGTATATTATTAATAGGTTAACTTTAGTTTTCAACCCCAAAAGTACATGTTTGCATATCGGTTAAAATGTAAGTTTTGCTAATTTGATTCAACTTGAATTAAAACACTGAAAGATTGATGAGGCTTCAGCATTACATATAGGGGTTCATGCATGCAAAATCTAGTTCCTTTTCAAAGTTATCTATGTTGTTAAATTTGTATTATCATTTATTAGGAAAAGTGACTAGACTTTTTTCTCTGCTCTGATGAATGTTTTATCCTCTAATCCATTGAAGTACAATTTTATATATTTGTTCTTTACACGTTTGACATGGTAGGAAGGTTCAAGGCCACTGATGCAGGTAGATTACGTGCTGAATACAACCGGCTTGTTGAGGGTTTGGCACTTAGAGGAAACCTGCCTAGTATGTAGAATGCTGATGCACTAGTGGTTTTTTTTTCTGAATTAATTTATGCTCTTTTGGTAATCTCATTAGTCTTCCTAAAATTCTTTCTTCTTCTTTTTTTTTTTTTTTTCCTTTTATCCAGTCGCAGACGCTTGGCTATCAAATCCTGCCTTACCGGATGATATTCTGAAGGAGGCTGTGCCCGGAAACATTCGCCGAGCTGAACATTTTCTGCATGTTTTACGTAGATTGGTCCAATATCTAAGAGGGCGCCTGGAAACTGAAAATGTTGAGAAGGAAAACCCTGTTAACTTTGTTGCATCCATTAATGCACATGCTGGAATTGACCAGAAAGCACTGAGGTTTTGTTATGATCGGTTGCACTCACTCATGTTGACACTGGAAATAACAGACACAGATGAGTTCTTACATATCCAGACAATATGTGACTTTGCAACACTTTTGGCAACTTACGCTCGTGGGTTTTCAATTATAATTGAACCTTTTGACGAGAGAATGCCTCATATTCCTGATCCTGTGCTGCAGGTATGCTTTCTTCTCTCATTCCTTGTACATGTTTTTAGCTCATTGATACTTTTCCAGTAAGTAAACAGTGACCTTTTGGCTGATTCTTATATTTAATGGCATTTGGGGTCTGTCTTCAGGCGTTTATGTATGATGTTTGGTGGAACTCCTGCACAAAATCCATTGATTTTTAGGATCTTACAGTCTTATGACCACTAAGTACTGATTCTATTTTTTCCCAAACTCCAAACTGATTGTACAGATGACTGGATCATTATGATTTATGTTCTTCTAAATTGATATTACCTAGCATAATATCATCTGGTAGACCATGATATTTGCTGTCTTTCTCCAATATCCATATCAGTCTCTATCTGCCACTTACCGATCTAAAATTATGGCTTCTGCTGTAAAGGCATTTGATATATGCTTATATTACTTAAATTGTTGTTTATCCATTATTTTTAAATTTTAATATCTATTAATCTCTTTTCTTTTTCCCCTCTTTGTTTGGCATTACAGCTTAGCTGCCATGATGCTTCTCTTGCCATAAAGCCTGTGTTTGACCGATTCCAGTCAGTTGTGATAACATCTGGAACACTAACCCCAATTGATCTCTACCCTCGTCTTCTTAATTTTCATCCAGTAGTCAGTCGAAGTTTTAAAATGTCGTTAACAAGAGATTGCATATGCCCTATGGTTCTTACTCGTGGAAGGTATATTGTTTAATGAAAATGTATCTCTTATTTTTGCAACATACTGAGCAAATTTAATCTCAATTCTGGGGATATTTGTTGAGTGATCTATTTCTTTTTTTATTCTTTTTCAAAAGAAAAAATTTAATGAATATCTTCTGGCTTGTTATATTAGTGATCAACTTCCAGTGAGTACCAAATTTGATATGAGAAGCGATCCTGGTGTTGCAAGGAATTATGGAAAGCTCTTGGTGGAGATGGTCTCTATTGTTCCAGATGGGATTGTATGTTTTTTTGTTAGTTACTCATACATGGATGAAATAATTGCTACGTGGAATGATAGTGGAATTCTAAAGGTGAAATAATGTTTTTGGTCTCTTTTTATCTACTGCTCATCAACATTTTGGCCTCTTTTTGCTTTTTTCTTCTGATAGGACTTGTTTTATAGTATTTTAACTTGATAATAAAACATAGTTTAGTTGAAAGTGATATCTGTCTCCATTCTCTTGAGTGATACCAAATGCCCTTGTTTTTGCAGGAAATAATGCAACATAAGCTTGTCTTCATTGAGACACAGGATGTGGCAGAAACTACATTAGCTCTTGATAACTACCGTACAGCTTGTGATTGTGGGCGAGGTGCAGTCTTTTTCTCCGTTGCCAGGTATGAGTATATTCATAGTAAACAATCTTTCTCAAAGTATAGAGTATGCAATTTAATAATTCTTTCTCAAACTTGAGTGAGCGTGTGAAGTTGGCACAATAAAAATACTCCTTCATGGAAGTCAAACAATTCCAAAGTAAATTTCATTCTTTATTTGCCAATGGAAAATGTAATTTTGACTATTTGAGAAGTTGTAACATAATTTTTATGGCATGCTCCAAAACTGTCTCCCTTCAACTTTTTCATCACACATTTAAAGTCTGAGAACTTCAACATTTAATTTAGGATTTGAGGTTTGTCTTGTTGCCTGGTGCAATCTGCATATTTCCTTCTGTTAGTAATTGCTATTACCATAATTTGGTGTGGGATGTGCATAGTCTGTATATTCTAAAGGTACTTTAGGCAGAAACTTTGGCATGCAATCAGAAGGAAATTCCTTGTTGTCAGAAAAATATGTGGGAGTTCATTGTAAATTGTTATTTTGCTGTTTTGATAGATTTATATCTTACTTTGCAGGGGAAAAGTTGCAGAAGGTATAGATTTTGATGGACATTATGGCAGACTGGTTATCATGTTTGGCGTTCCTTTCCAGTACACATTAAGCAAGTGAGCCTCATTTCATAATGTCTATGCTTATGTTGTTTTAGATAAAGATGCTTTATTGAAATATGATTGTTCTGCAGCTTTGCATTGTTGTTGTTCTGCAGCTTTGCATTGTTGACTTATAGCAGGAGATGTTACACAATTTTGTGATTCAGCTTTTTGAAGGGATACTAGTTGTTTGGCATGCAATGCACGTGTGGCAATAAAATGTGTTACAATTCATTGCTGAGACCTAAGAATATGGTTGTAGAAGTTATTTGAGATTGGACATGGTAGATTATATTCTTATTTTGTTGTAGGATCTTGCTTGCACGTTTGGAGTATTTACGAGACTCTTTTCAGATAAAGGAGGGTGATTTCCTAACTTTCGATGCCTTGGTATGACTTCTCATAACTTTTTCCTCACAACATACACCTGTTTGTTACTGTTATCATAAATTTGATTGGTCGGATTCTACCAAGACAGAGACAAGCTGCTCAGTGTGTGGGCCGAGTGATCCGGTCAAAGGCCGATTATGGGATGATGATCTTTGCTGACAAAAGGTATGTAGTTTATGCAAATTTATAATTTCTCTAATTCAAGACTGAAGCTTTGCCTTGTAGTCATATACTCCATATCACAGATTATTTCTTTGAATATTTAAATTATATTATCCATAAATTCTAGGAATGGTTCAGCATTCATGTTTATCTCTTAAGATGCACTTGTCTGTTGCTCATGTTGATTTGAAGCATGTACTTTTGATGACAGAAGAACTGATCTTTACTAAGTTTTTACAATCAGTATCTCTAAATAAAATTTTCAAGCAATTCTTTTTTCTTACTTTTTGTGTTTTAAAAAATAAATCCAGCGAGGATTACTGAGACTGACAAAGGTTGAATATTTAGAGTGTATTATGTATTCTTACCGTGAGTTTAACCATCAAATGATTGTAAAGCTACTTCTGTATTTTTTATTTTAGTAAGGGATTGTTAGCTAGAGAGGAGCCAGTTTATTTATCTATTTCCTGGAAAAAACAGAAAAGGTTTGGTGTTCATAGTACCTCAGAAAATGAATTCTTTACCTGAATTGTTCAGGTATAGCCGTCATGACAAACGCTCTAAGTTGCCTGGTTGGATACTGTCGCATCTACGTGATGCGCATCTGAATTTAAGCACAGACATGGCTTTGCATATAGCACGAGAGGTGTGTATAATTTGATTGCTAACACTTTGGAAACTTCCAAATATTTTTCAAAGCTGTTATGAGGAAGTTCAAATGGTGACATTAAAAGCTTTGTCATATGCTAATCTATTACCTTTTTCATTTCTTCACGGTTGCAGTTTCTGCGGAAAATGGCTCAGCCTTATGATAAAACTGGCGGTGGAACTCGGAAGACTCTCTTGTCACAAGAAGATTTGGAGAAGATGACCAACGACGGCAGCATAAATGATATTTTGTACTGACAATTTATTCTGGCAGTTCATAGATCAATACGTTTTCTCCAATTCTAATTTGCAGATAGTGGAGTTGGATAGTTTCAAGTGTTTTAAGTTTTGATGGTAATGCTGTGGCGCTTGATGAGAAAAATTATCCCCTGTTAAAGGCTGGAAATACTGTCGAGACAACCACTGGATTTACACTGGTCTGTTTTCTTCAAATCCATTGGAGCTACAAACAATTTTGAAGTCATGTACAGACTGATGATTCCTTGTAGCTTTGCAACAACCTTAGCAAAAATGGTTCGAAGTCAATATTCAGTTAAATATTATTAAATTATATTTTGCTACTTTAAAAAACATTTATATTACATTTACAAAAGTTGAGATTGATGAGATTCTAATGCCGTATGAGAATTGATATGGTTTACCAAATTTGTTACCGTTTCAATTTCATCAAAAAAAAAAAAAAAAAAAAAGATTATCAATATTTGTCTATACGGTAAGGTTTAATCTTGTATGCAACTCCGATGAAGAGGAGCATTTTCATATTATTATCACTCATTTTCTTTTCCTTTTTCTTTAATTTTGTTATGTTTAGAAGACAAATTATACTTTCTGTCAAGCTCATACCACCTCAAAGATATCTTATATCAATTTTATCTCATTTTAAGAAAAGAACGGATGAGAGCTGTCCATGTGTCAAGGCAACTTACAAAACACTCGTTGTATTGACTTCAAAGGTGTATAAATTGACATTTTTCTTTACGAAAAAGGGAGGTTGGGCATATGAGAGTTAGACATAGATTTGAGCTTCATTCTTTCTCTCTGTAAAACAAAGTATTTCTTCATCTTTGTATGTCTTACGGGAAATATTATATAAATAGTCAAAGAACAATAAAATAACAGTGGATGTAGGATTTGTTTTAAGCATCCGAACCATTATAAAAACCTCTCTTGTCAGCCTATTATTTATGTTTTCTACAACATATATAATCTCAACACCATATTCAAATCTCATGAATCTATCATGTGTAATTTCTAAAACTCTCTTAACACTTTGTGCATGCTAGTGTTGATGGTGTCCAAAATCAATCATCAACAAATTTCAATTTAAACCCTGCTCATCAATTGAACTATTTGTCCATCAAACAAATTGTTTTGTCTATCTTTTTCTTATGGAAATATTCAATCTGGATGGGACATGACATGATTTAACATAATATGGCATTTCTTACACTTTTATGCAGTACATTTTGTTAGATTACAGATGGGGATGGGGCATGATTAGTTGATTCATTAATTTCATCTCAACCACAATCATAATATTCTACATTTTACACCATACGTCTAACCCCAATTTTATCACCATAAAGTCAGCCCTAAACTATTATTACTCTGCCCAATTAATCATCTCTATTTATACCAGTCAGTCATTACTGGGGTGGTATTATTTGATGTATTGCCCTCTTCACCTCCACAATGCTTGCCTTTTTCCCATTTACATTATCCTTCACCTGTACCAATCAAAATTTAAACTCATTTAAAAAAAAAAAACCCACTTAATCACTTCAATTAACAAAATTAATCTCCAAATAAACCCACATTACCTTGGCTCTTAATTGTGCCACAAACACCCCATTATTCAAAGAAGATTGAACTGCTGTCACTTCAATCAATAGTTCCCTTAGCATTTGCATTATATCAAGCAACAGCCCTTCTCTATGCACACATTGCAATTCCACCAATGCATCACTCTCTATGATCGACACCTGTACCGACGTTGTCACCGCTGCTGCTGCCGCTCCGGGTGGCGGTGAATCCACAGACTTCGGCTTCGCAACGCCACCACTAGCCTCTACTATTCTCAACTTCCTCTTTTCGGATCCGGGTGCTACCCGGGATCGGTCCAAAACGGTTTGCCCACTTCTCTGGTCCTTTGACCCACTGCTAGAAGTCCTCTGTAACTCGGCCGATTTTGACCGTTGATCGACCTCCATTTGCTTATTACGCGTCTCGAGATCCTGAATCTTTTTACGTAATTGTTTCACGTACTCAATGGTGTCACCTAATATTGAAGCTTTGTCCATTTTGGTAACAAACGGGACAAGTGACCTCAGAATGATGAACCGCTCATTGAGTTTCTCACGGCGGCGGCGCTCCGCCAGGACGTGGTTGGCACTCAGCTCGTCTTGCGGGGTTCCCTTGCGGAACCTAGAGGCGGCGTCGCCACTGGCCTCACGCGACTTGGGCGAGTTCTCGTCGCGGTATTTGTTGTGCAAAAATGGCACGCTGAACAAAATGTACTTGAGGAGCCATTGCGATGTGCCTTCAACCGACATGGGGAGGTGGTGATCCAAGCGAGTTGTCCACTTGGCAAAAGCTGATTGGGTGGAGTAAGCGACGTAGCCGGTGGACGATGAGTCGGCCCACGGGCTCGGCTGCTTTTGAAGAATCGTCGATACGGTTTGTGAATAGTGGGTGTCTTCTTGAGTCAATTCTTCTGGTGGAAGTGGTCCTGAAAGCAATAACAGATTATATTACTAAAATAAATCTCCATTAAAAGTAACCAAACTTTTTGTCTTATTTTCTTTCCTTCAAATTAAAATTTTCATTTTTTTTTTCTTTTTTGGTGATTGTGGGACCTCAAATGAGTCGAATCGATTGAATATTCGTGGTAAAGTTTTGTTGGGGAGTGAAAAATTGGACCCCATGTGCATGTCCTGCATGAACATGATAGATCATCATCACTGAAATCATTGATTTTGATGATCAGTTTCTTGAAAAGGGTGGGTCACTGTAATTTATGATGATTGTGGCCCACAACAATCTGAAAGCTAAATTTAGAGGCGATTTATTATTTTATTATCTCATATCTAATCTTCAACTAAGATCTTGTGCTAGATTCTGTGACCATTCAAAAAAAATCCAACTACTTTTACCTGAAGGAGCTTGTTGAAGTCCGCTACCACTCAATGGCGCCTCTGGCATCATCGGCCACCTCCGGTTTGACTCGGCTCTGAACGAGTCAACTCTCCGCTTGTGGTCATCCGGGTTCCCAGCTCCTTGGCTCACGGCCAGTAGATTAAAATCTGAGTCCAGGTTATTCGAGGCGTCGTCGGGCGAGCCCAGCCGGATGTCTTCAGACATCTCCAGCTGCATTAGTTCACTGGGTTCTGCCACGGCTGGGGCTACGGCTTGAGGGTTTTGAGCTGCGGCCTGCCGGCTGTTGCGACCGGTTTCGGCTTCGGAGTCAGACTCGTGCTCCTCTTCGTCGTCGTCGTCGTCTTCTTCCTCCTCGTCTTCTTCTTGGTTGGCATTCGCTGGTGGGTCCACGGCGGCATACATGGCTGGGATGGGTTGTGAATGGAAGCGTGGGTGGTCGGAGGAAGTGGCGGGATTGGAGGTGGAGTGCTCAGAGAGAGCTGGTTTTGGTGGTTGGGGGTTTGGGAGGCGGTGGTCAGTGAAGAAAGTCTTTACATGTTGAATGAATCCAAGGTCCTCTTGAACCTATAATTAAAATGGCATCACAAATATTAAACAAATTAACAAGACTCTATATAGAAGAATGCAAATTACTTTGAACACATAAAACAAGTTTTGTTTACCCTTTCAGTCGTGCCAAATTCAACCACACCATCGAGAAGAGGAATGCACACAACAGTCTGCACCATAATACAAAATTTCTTCTTTAAAATCTTTAGAAAAGTTAACATTTTATAATAACGCTGGCTAGATTTAAGATTTACCTGTATACGAGCACTCTGTTGAAACCTCAAGCACATTGATCATGTGGAGAAAGAGAACAAGCAGTTAGCCATAAAAGCCAAAAAGCTATATAAACCACAGAGAAAATATATGCTTTTCTTCTTCTTTTTCCTTTCTTTGGGGGGCCATTGATGATTTAGACAACTATTTTTAAGAATTTCAGTTGTTTCTTTTCGTGGGAGCAAATCTTTTTGATATATATATATGTGTGTGCTATATCAGCTGGCTGTTCAGCTCAACTCCGACGCCAAAAAAATGAATTTATGTATTGGTTTCAAAAACTATTTTTTTTTCAGCGGAAATTTTCAGTAAGTGAAACGAGGGCGAAAGGAGAATTGTGATGGCACCTTGGCGAGAATTGCTCTAGAGAAGGTTTTACTGTCAACCTCGTTTGCTCCGGTGAGCCATACATGTTGCCGCCGTGCATATGCTTTTCCCGGCAACCTAAACATCACATTTACATTTTCATTAACAACTTTATCCCAAAAANCCAGGTTATTCGAGGCGTCGTCGGGCGAGCCCAGCCGGATGTCTTCAGACATCTCCAGCTGCATTAGTTCACTGGGTTCTGCCACGGCTGGGGCTACGGCTTGAGGGTTTTGAGCTGCGGCCTGCCGGCTGTTGCGACCGGTTTCGGCTTCGGAGTCAGACTCGTGCTCCTCTTCGTCGTCGTCGTCGTCTTCTTCCTCCTCGTCTTCTTCTTGGTTGGCATTCGCTGGTGGGTCCACGGCGGCATACATGGCTGGGATGGGTTGTGAATGGAAGCGTGGGTGGTCGGAGGAAGTGGCGGGATTGGAGGTGGAGTGCTCAGAGAGAGCTGGTTTTGGTGGTTGGGGGTTTGGGAGGCGGTGGTCAGTGAAGAAAGTCTTTACATGTTGAATGAATCCAAGGTCCTCTTGAACCTATAATTAAAATGGCATCACAAATATTAAACAAATTAACAAGACTCTTTACAGAAGAATGCAAATTACTTTGAACACATAAAACAAGTTTTGTTTACCCTTTCAGTCGTGCCAAATTCAACCACACCATCGAGAAGAGGAAGGCACACAACAGTCTGCACCATATATAATATAAAATTTCTTCTTTAAAATCTTAAGAAAAGTTAAAATTTTATAATAAAGCTGGCTAGATTCAAGATTTACCTGTATACGAGCACTCTGGTGAAACCGCAAGCACATTGATCATGTGGAGAAAGAGGACAGGCAGTTAGCCATAGAAGCCAAAAAGTTATATAAACCACACAGAAAATATATGCTTTTCTTCTTCTTTTTCCTTTCGTTGGGGGGCCATTGATGATTTAGACAACTATTTTTAAGCATTTCAGCTGTTTCTTTTCGTGGGAGCAAATCTTTTTGATATATATATATGTGTGTGCTATATCAGCTGGCTGTTCAGCTCAACTACGACGCCAAAAAAATGAATTTATGTATTGGTTTCAAAAACTATTTTTTTTTCAGAGGAAATTTTCAGTAAGTGAAACGAGGGCGAAAGGAGAATTGTGATGGCACCTTGGCGAGAATTGCTCTAGAGAAGGTTTTACTGTCAACCTCGTTTGCTCCGGTGAGCCATACATGTTGCCGCCGTGCATATGCTTTTCCCGGCAACCTAAACATCACATTTACATTTTCATTAACAACTTTATCCCAAAAACTTATAGCTTAATAGTTAATACCATATATATAAGCAAAAATGTAATGTTTAAATAATAAATATATGTTATTTTTAATTAAGGGTTGGGAAATTAAAAAGATATTGGGTATTTATTAAATATTCTGCAATCTTTTCCGTAACAAAATTACCGAAAACACTAAAATCCATTGCAATGGTCCATTCCTGTATTAGATATATGGGTGCTGAAAGGGCATGGCTGATGGCACAATCCTCTTTACCTATTTGGCTACCTACAATCCAACTGAGCTTCTAAAATTTATGGGAAAGATTCATGGAGAGAGCGAGAGACAAAAGAGATTTTCTAAATATAACAAAGGAATGCTTTAGGTACTTTCCAAAAAATTAACGTATTGGTTTGTATGTTTTTCCGAATAAGCAGTTTCCATGGCATGCAGTAAACCAGAGAAATTTTTTCAAACTCAAATCAAAATTTTACTTAATATATAGCTTCAGGCTCTTTTGACTTATGCTCTCCCGAATATATTCTCCATCTCAACTAGATTTCAATCTTAGAATTTTCTTAATTAAGACAAAGGGTTCTTACTTCTTCCAATTCCATTCACTTCACTTCTGTACAGAAAGAACAAGACATTAATTGAAGCAGTAGGCTTTATTTCAAATGGTTTTTAATATCGACCAGAAGAAATCTACCATAATTAAAGAACCCTAACGGTCTCATTTACTGTAGTTGAGTGTGTGAAGTTGCTTTCATGCCATTTACACCATTAAAACGACAACCAATTTCTTACACCAACTCGAAAATAAAAGCATGGGAAAAATTGAAGGGTGGTTACTACAATAAATGTCTAGTTATCTAGGAAAAGAAATGTTGAATTGTTTTTACAAAAAAGGTTTTTGATTTGAAGGAAATGGTGGAGAAATATTTTTGACCTGCTTGTGACAAAGAGTGTAAAACAAAAGAAGATCATTCTACCACTAAATTTTACTACTTCCATTTGCAGATTCGTGCACTGAAACTCCACCATAATATGAAAAATAAAGATTCCAGTAAATAAAACAAATGAAAGAATCAAATGTCTATCTTACTTACCCAACTCCAGGAGCGAAAGTGAAGGAGACACACATCAAATAGAACCACTCGGACTCCGTCAAGTCCTCCGGCGACAAAGCGGCACACGGCCGTCTTGCCGGCTGGTTAGTTTCTCCGGCGGATAATGAGTCGTAAAGCTCTCTAAGCTGTTGGCTTCTCTGCAGAGAGGCTTCTTCAGCGCTGACCTCCATTGGCTGCACTGTTTTTCTTGTTTTAATAGCTCCATTATAATACCCATCTCCCCATATTAAGATCCTGAACAATACAATATCAAAAATTAACGTCTAATTATCAACAAAATTCGCGTAAACATTAATTATTTGTACAGATTAATTTAATTACCCTTGCTGTGGACAAATTTGCCAGAAGAGACTGTAAGTCCACTGAACTGATTGCACCGCCTCTTGCAGCATACTCTGAAGCCGGCTACTCGGCGGGGCAGCCATTTCTTTCGACCGTTATTCACCGCCAAAACAATTTTTCACTCTCTGGAAACTCAATTATACGAATTCCAAATTGGAGCGAAAATGAAAAATAAAAATAAACAAATAAAAGAAAAAAGACAAGAAGATAATAAAAAAGAAAAAAAGAAAAAGAAAAGAAAAAGGGAGACGGGAAGTGTCCAAGCTGAGTAAGTAGACAAAACAAGAGGCTCCAAGATCTGAGCTACAAATCAAACCCTTTAATCCCAACTGAAAAAGAGAAAGTAAGGTAAAACCATGAAGAAGACTTGAAGTTATACAGCAAAAAGAGACCTGCAGGTGCGAAGAGAAGAAACTGAAAAAACAAGAAAAGAAAGTTAAGGTGTATGACTTTGAGGTGGTGATAATGGGAGTTGCCCAAGAAATTATTTCTCGGTATTATGATCCAAAGATTGAAGGGTCGTTAGAAAGCTAAGACTGAGATTGATGGGTTGGTTAAATTATAAATATTTAAAAGAAAATATACATTAATATATAAATTTAATGCAGAGAGTAGTTAGGGTTTCTATACGAGGAGAGAGAGAGAGAGAAGGATTTTCAAATGTAAAAATACATTTTGATACCAAATTCTTTAGTTCAACACATAAGATCCATTAGAATTTATGAAAGGTCTAAAATGCCCTAAATTTTTATTTTTTTTATGATTATTCTAATTTTGTAACATCCATTTTGTTTTTCATTCCATAAACCAATCTCACAACCTTCTCTCGCAATCTCCGACGTAACAGCTTATCATTGGTTAGCTCATAAATAGGCAAACAAGGTAGGACTCATTTTGCAAGCTGATCATTGACGAACTGTTACATCTAGAGTTATGAGATTGAGTTGTAGACCTAGTATTAATCATTATTTTTATCAGGAGCGGATCTAGAGTATATTGAGCCTACCCTCAAATTTAAAAAAAAAATGTTTATGTCAACATTTTTTTTTTTCTATTTAGGACAACTTCAACTAAAAACATATAATAATTACATTTTATTTTGGCCCACCCTAACAAGAATTTTTGGATCTGTTACTGGTTTTTATAGTTTCGTTGATGGTTAATATCAAAATTGGATGTCACATCTGGAGTTATGAGATTGAGTTGTAAACTTAGTATTAATCATTGTTTTTATAGTTCCGTTGATGGTTAATATCAAAATTAGGGATATTTTTTAATTTCACAGATTGTATGAGACCTAAGTGTAATGAGAGTAAACCTTAGGTACGAAATGGATTTTGACGGCGAATTTTGACTGTTCGGTCTACCAGACAGTTTAGATGACAGATGTCAAGCTTGGACAAGTGCACGAATTTTGTTAGTTGAGTGTTCTTCTTAGAGCTAGTAGCGGGTCGAGATTTGAGAAGAAAGATTAGGTGGCTAATTACAGTAAGACTGGGCGTTGAGATTTGTAGAATTATTAACTTTAAATAATAATAACTTTTTTATTTTTACTGAATAATTACTGGGGATGGAAGCCAAGCCACCTAAATTTCCACGCCAACAAACAAATCAAATCATTAATCACATAATATCTATTTTGTACTGCATCCACATGCCTAAATATTTTCAAAAATTGATGATATATAATTTGTTTTTTAAATTTTATACTTGGGATGTGAAATAGACAAGAGGAATATTCACTGAATTTGGCTCACAAAATCAAAATATAATTCTTTTATTTTTGACAATGTAATTCATGTGTGATAGTGTAAAATGTTGATGCTAATATTGTCAAAAAAAAATATTATTTAAAATTATAAATATGCATAACATTTTGAGTAATACTACAGCCATCAAAAGTTGTACACCGAATCTGTGCACCGAATGACGTGATAAAATCCTGACCATTTATTTATTATCAGTTAATATCAATCAACGGTCAAGATTTTGCCACATCATTCGGTGCACAGATTCGGTGTGCAACCTTCGGTTGCTCTATCATTTTCCTAACGTTTTTCACATATTTATTCACACTTTTTTTTTTTTTTTTTTGGATACCTTGAAGTGTCTGGCTCAGTTTGCACTTACCTCACATATTTCTCTGATATCTTAAAATTAACGGTCATATAAGTATTCATTGACTATAAATTATTAGTAGTCGTGAGGATTGAAAACTACGCATTCAATTATTACACGTTATTAGTAGTCGTGGGGATTTGAAACTACGTATTCAGTGATTACACGTTATTAGTAGTTGTAGAGATTTAAAACTATGTATTAAGTGATTACACGTTATTAGTAATCCTAGATATTTGAAACTGCTTGTTGATTATTTAAGTTGTTTTAATAGATTAGATTAAGTTGTTTAGTATATTAATAAAAAGTGAAACAATGTTTGAAGAGGATTTGAGTGAGGAATTAAACAATTGATTTTACGGGATTGAGGGCATAAGCATTGACTTGAGAATCCGAGTGGGAGAAGAATGGCAGATTCCAACAAGGAGTCAGCCTCAGCCATTGAATTTTGTAAATGTAGCTACAATATTCAACTTCAACATGTGCCATTAATGAAACCCCACGACCCGACCTTATTTTATTCATTAATAAACCCTAACCCTAACAGTAATACATTGAAATTCGAATCAAACCCGACCTCAATAATTATTATTTTTTATAATGAAATAATATATTTATGAAAGCTTAGCTTGATGTAATATTGTATTCCTAATTACATCATTAATTACATTTAATTTGAAGAGGAATTTGAAGAGGAAAGGCAGGTGGGGGCTGCGTGATCCATGTTTATTGTAAACTCTCAAATAAATAAATATATGAAGAATGGTAGATATGTCTTTAAGTCTCTGGACCAGCAGCTACGCTATTTATTTAATTATTGGAAACAAAATTATAATGGATTAACTCCTGCAAATTATGATTAACTTATCTCATTAATGGCTTGATGAATCAACTCCTTATAATGCAGTAGCTGTTGTGTTGAGTGTTGTTGAATTTCCAGGTGTATAGATTGGGTACATAATAAAAGTGAAGAATTTCCATGCTTTGTGTTGATGCTTGATTTTGACACAAACTATTCGTATGTGAGAAATGCTAAGCAGACTTAGAAATCACACGCGATATGAGAATATTTAGTTAAATTAAGGGTGAAAGGCAATGTTTAAAGCGGTTCTGATGCTCAAAAGCGAATTCTACGATCACTGATATTGTATTAATGAGAGTAAGGTCAGGTCGCGTTCAACGAACTGAGTTATAGCTTAGAAAATACAAGAGAGAGAGAGAGAGAGAGAGAGTAAGCTATTCTATAGTGAAATTAGCCAATCCTGCAAATGAGAGAAAATGCCTTTATTTATAGTGGGATGAATCAAGGTAAGGATTACTAAATTGTAAGTGGGTGGGTACCGTGCAAATCATTCTCTGCGTCTTATTGTTTACCTGCCCGAGTGATTTCCTTGACTTGTGTAGGGATTGGATACGTGGACAATTTCCAACCATCCGTTAACCTGTCATTCACCTACTGCACTGACAGGGGCATGTCACTTAAGTCATTATGCGATGTGGCAGCGTTTGAACTGTCGTGAAACCTTCCTAAGTTCTGACCACCCCATGCTGACAAAACTCCGCATAGCTCTACTTTTTCAAGCATAACACTTTACAATTCCATTAACTATCTCTTTCTTTGTGTTGTATATGTTGGGACACAACTTATTATATGTTACACCATTCTTAATTACACAACCTCAACCACTATTCGTAAAATATATAATACTTCTCAACAACAATAAATGTGTTTTCTATTAAACGATCTCATACGAATAAATGAAATAAACCAATATAGTAACTCATAAAGGACTTTTGGTGACAAAATTTTAGTTTCAACGTTCGTATAAAAAAAAAAACTCAATTTTCTTGTAAATATTTTGATTCCAGAACCTCTAAGAAATGTTCCTTCTGATAGTTGGTCCCCCAAATTGAATTAGAAGAATCTAGTTTGTAGTGACATTTAATTTGAAGCCAAATGCAATAACATCAATTACCAAACACCATTAATTGAATACCAAACTTGTTTAATTTTTCTCTCTTCATGGACACAATAAAACGTTTATTAATTTAAATAAAAAAAATTACTTCTGTTTGTGTTATTTCGAATGATTTTATGATTGCTCTTTCCATTTTGGTCCAAATGATTTGAAAACCAGTGGGCCAAAACGCAGATTAATCACGGCAAAACGACAAAGTAGGAAAACTATATGATGGGTTTTGAGCCCAATAATAAATAAGCAGGGCTAACTGCTCACACCTGCTACTGTCGTTTTGTTTTTCCATACCCACCTTTGGACCACGTTCTACATGCCGATTCCTTTTCCTTTACGTTGTCTCAATTTTTAGAATATATAAATTGACGCGTTTTAAGACAATTAGATGGTTTTAATTAATTAAAGATAATTTTAAACAAAATAGTGTAAATAATAGGTTAAACACGCAGTATTATCACATCAATTTATCGGTAATAGTTTGTATATATAATATTACTCTAATTTTTATAAGTTTAGTTGATATCATATATAATATAGAGTTCAATGACAATAATCTCCCTGACCGTTTCATTTATTAATAAAAATTTCCTAATGTTTGGTGAATTTTTAAGAGTTCGGTGTTAAAATAGATGACAAAAGGGTATTTAAGTAAATATCAATTAAAATCTAATAACAGTAATCCTCCGAGATTTTGAGTAAGAACAAAAACATGACATGAATTGTTATATTAAAAGAAGTCGATGAAAGTGAACAATTTGGAAAAAAAAAAATATTAAAGTCTCTTGATTAAATGAAAAGTGATTAGCATTTCTCGTGTTTGCTGTTTTATAAAAATACCTTAGCTTTCAAGCGAAAAATTTAAAAAATTAGTTATAATGTAATATTTTTACTCTCGAACAAATCTAGAATACCATGGTGGTACCAAATCATCTATACTACCACCCAATAAATTAGTATTACCCCTAAATTTGTTCCCTCTGGTTTATTCTTAAATTCATTGTGATTAGAACGGTTATTAAATGCAATAACTACTTTGCATGAAACCACAACTAAGACTTTTGGATGTATTTTCCAAGAAGTTCTCAGTTCAATTCACCTGGGTTGCTAATATGGGTGATTATTAAGGAGATTTACTTGGATATCAACTTCAAAGCCCGGGGGGGGGGGGGGGGGGGGGGTGGGGGGGGGGGGAGGATTAGTTGAAGTGCTCGTAAACTGACCGAGACACCCCCAGTATCACATTACATACGACTCTAGTGCATAGACTTTCTCTCACTCCCTTCTATTTTGTGTTTTCCCTTCAACTCATCCATCCTTACTATTCATCTCAAGATTTCATTCTTCTTGTGCTTCAGTTGGATT